TCCACACTTTCAAACACAATCGCCCGCCCCCACCACCACCATCTGACGGTAGGCTTGTAACGTTTCCCAGACATAATCCCGACCTAACTTGGCCATCTCCCCAACCCGCTCTACAATATGTACCTCGGCCCTAAGGGTAGCCTAATCCAAGAAATCAACTGTCAGCTGGTATTAGTTCAACATTCTTGCCTGGGGCACACGATTTTCTTGAGTAGGTAGACAGGAGGGTGTGACGCGCAGCAAATGGTCGTGAACATCAACCCGATGGGATGCAATTATCAACCAAACGGGCTTCGCTACACATTTAACCTAGCAACGTCGGCTTTGTCGGGTGTGGCTGGCTGTTTGTCTGTGCGTCTGCGGACACCAAGTGAAAACGCCTGTCAGATCCTATGGGCATGTAGATTTCAGGTGTACTGCTGGACATTGAATGGCCAGTCATACACGCAAGCCGATCGGAACTAGTGTACACACACTTCCTGTCATGAAGTTAATCTAACGTGGCATGTTTCCATGCCCTTCTTTGAACTCGCTTTATGTGTCGACAAATGAAGCTTCCTGGACCACTAGCTGTCACTAACACTGAGTTTCCGAAGGCGTTTGATACAACGGGAATCGAAGGCAAAATAATAAAACTCAGTCTGAACTTCAAGATTCACTTACTGTATTTGTCATTTCTACCCTCATTTGACTAGCCTTCTCAGAGGTTTTGACACTATCGGTTGTCTACACCAATGAACAGACCATAGCAGAATAGGAGCTCTGAACCTGGCAACCGAGCGGCGGCAGGTGAGCTTGACACTCATGAAGTCCGAAGTTCCGTCGTACAGCCGAGACGTAAACCATACCTGAGCAGCGGATTTGAGACTCACCTAGCAACTGAGGTCGATTAAACCGTCTAGACAAGCGAAGCTGTTCACACTTCAGTGAATCGGCAGGGTCTGGGAGTTTTTGAACTCACACCATCGATCGGGAGGCACAGTGGTTACATTCTTTCTTTCTTTCGAACTGTTGCGCTACGCATGTGAACACAGGCCTCGGGTTCAAGTTGATTTGCGTCTACTACTTTCTAGCAAAGTGGTGGTGGTGGGCCAAGTTACCTCCGATGCCAGCTAGCAAGAGCTATCATAACAGTGGACGAAACCAAAGCCTGGCCTGAGTAATCACATCAGAACAAAAGGAGACAATCTTTTGAAGTGCCACATGTACGACATAAAACCAGGTCCGACATGTGGATGACACATCTGATGAAATCCGAGCTACCAAGGGGGTTTTTGGTACCCTTGTCTGACAATGAAGATGAAAAACACATCCCATCAGGTTCGATGAGTTTTTCTCACAGGGATGCTATGCAAGTTTAGGCTGCACGAAGGATTATAAAGCAGAACGAATTCTTGCTTAGTGTGTTTCCAAAACCCTACGCGGCGCAGAAACGGTACTTCAAGGTAGTCAACATTCTGATTCCTAAATTCGAAAACCGGGTCTGCGCATTACTACTGCGGGTCTCAAACTGTTCATGGATGACAGCCGGTTTGGCGTCCATCCATTTTCATAGTTGCGCTAATTTCAAGTGATCTCCTAAATCGGTCGGCAGGAGCACCACAGACTTGAGCCTTTACTGAGGTGACTTGTCCTGCGAAGTGCCTCACACTACGTCGTGCTCCACTGCGAATGCTGTTTTGCACTCTTCGACAGGATGACCTTTTTCAAGGGGGATATAGTTTGAGAGGGCAATTTGTTGGATATTCAGTCCACAAAAGAGGAGACATTGACGACCTAGAAACAAGGAAAGCGGCTGACAGCATGGTATAACAGCCACTGAGCTACACCGTCTATAGGATCACATTGTGACTTCATATTGTAGTATTCGGGTGGAAGGAAAAATGCAGTATAGTTCAATTCAAGCAAGGATTCATCAACGTGTTTTCCTCAAGGAAATGAACATGGATGTCATGTAGAAGACCTTCATCTACTATCATATAACCTTATGAGTAATACATGACGAATATACATTTATCGCAATAGTTCGAATATCGTAGAGACTGTAACATGAGGCGGCAGTACATTCGGTTGTCTGGAAACATCAGAAACGAAAAATTCAGTTGGGTTCCAGGGGAGTCTCTCGAAAAACCAAATTAGCTCGCAAATGAGTGTATTTAATATACCGTTGTTGCTAATAAGTGTTTTTCGCATCAGGAGATTTCTCGGTCTCCAGAACAGTTTGGGCATCAATCAGTCATAACAACTTTACTCCTGAGTCTGTTCATGGATCTATTTTCTTGTCCCCACTAGCAATCCGTTTATGAGGTTCGTCGCTGAATCACTATCCGCAACCAGGTCATGTTTAGTGTTTCGAAAGTCTCTTCAGGATGCGGGAAATAGTTTCTTTCTACCCTTTGTATTTCTTTCAACCTACCTGTTCAGTTTTTTTTCACCTATTACCTATCCTTACCGTTTTCTGGTAATCGCTCTCCGAAAAGCTACAGAAACGATTTCGTCCCCCGCTTTCGAAGACCATCGTCTTCAGATTCTCGAGAACGGGCTTAGGCTTGATTAACTTTCAAGAGTTATTGGCTTATACCACATCAGTGCTCCTATTCATGCCACTGTTGATACAATATCAGATCAGTTTCCGCGAGTTCGGGGACCACATGGCCGTTGTTTTTGGTAGTGTGAGGAGATTTGGGATTTTTGTCGAGATTTCCTTCTGTAAGTGAAGCTAATCTATGCTGAAAAGCCGAGAAGCACTGTACAGCTTATTGGGAATCATCAGTAGTAAGCATCTCACGAAACTCCGAAGAGTCTCGAACCCGCGACCTCCCGGTTAGTAGTTTGAACACTTAACCGCTCGTGGCCGACGAAATCTCCACGTTGGTTTTATTTCAAGACCAAGTGACTATCATGGTGACTGGATGTTTAGTATTGCTCTTTCTTCCTCAAGCTTCGTTGCCTATATCAATGACCGACATCAGGGGTCGACGTGAAAGGGTAAAATATGACTTTCTCCAGAACATCTGGTTTTACACCACATTAGCTCGAACGACAAACATTAATCCGGTGTTGTGTTACACGCGCTGTCCATGTTGGTGTTATGGGGATGGCAACATCTGTTGAGGCGATGGTGTCGCATGATATCGCACCAGTTTCTGACTTCCTCTGTTTGATCTAGAATAGTATCGAAATCTCTAATGTGTCATTTGACTAACTCCGTCTTTCTAACGTTTACCAAGACGAGAACTGTTCACAAATCTTATCGACCGTCAAGAATGAATGTATTCCAAACTATTGGTGGCACGTGCGCGTTAGTTCGTGGTTGATCCGATGGTCGCTGATCTGCGTTGACGAGCTGAAGAGAACAACGACCTTCATGAAGAAAACTACTCACAAGGTTGCTGACAACTCTTCGACAGCCCACGACCAGTTTCGACCTTCTTGGGGCTCATCAGGTAGGCACAGTCACCGAGTCTCCATCAACCTTATGTGCCACTTGAACCCAAATTGGACTGTTTTCGAGAAATACACTCATTTGTAAATCAATTTGGTTTTCACGAGAGACTCAAGTGAATGTCTCGTTTATGATATTCTACGACTGAATGTGCTGCATGCAGGCCGCCTCATGATTCAGTTGGCACGATGTTCGAGATATCGCAGTGTAGTTTCATAAAGGAAACTACTCACAAGGTTGCTGCTGAAAACTCAATGCAAAACGAGCTAGCAACACCCCCTCCATAGTAGATCAACGACCGCCTAATCAACCACCAATCCTCAGGTATTCTGCTAGATGAATCATCTCCATTGTTGTCGGAACCCTCGTGGATACAGTTTCGACCACAAAGATTCCGCTGAAGGGTAACCAAAGGTAGGCAAGTTTCCTATTGAGTGATATCTCATTCGGTTCGTTTTCCGATGGACTGGCGATTCTGGGTTCCAACAAATTCTCACTGCATTTTCCACCAAAAGTTCACGGTGGTGCTATTGTTCATATGTGCGTGGAAATCGCATGACCTTTCAGTTTGCATCCTTGGTGTCCTCTGTTCCTTCTTCGGGTCATCTCAACGTCTGCGGAGAAAGTTAATATACCTTCGACCTTCTGGGTTCACGTTGTTCCAACAGTCAGGGCTGCTGTTCGGATGAACTGTCCAAATATCGTCAACTCTTTGGTTCTGACTGTGAAAATCAAACATTGTAGGTATGGTGTTTATCTTAAATCATGCAGATTTTTTCGAAGAATGGTTGTGAGGCTAGCAAGCACAATGAACAAAGGGAGTATAGTCATACGGTTCTGATTTAGGTTTCACGGACGAAGCTGAAAACTGCCCAAATGTTAGTCGCCAAGTTCAAACGTTTTCCAGAATCTTCTTCACGTTCTAACAGACTTGACAGATGTTTCTCTAGAGCGCGAACTGACTGATCGGAAGTTTCGTTCGTGGTTCGAAAGCATTTCGGCTTCCTCTGTCTAGACTTGGACAACCAGGCAGTGCTTCCCTCGAGTGGTATGGCAGTTTGGCACCACCAGGGTGCTACAGCTGATCGTTTTTTTCCTGTCATCTTGAAACGAATGGGAGTAGTGAGGCTAGCAAGCACAATGAACAAAGGGAGTATAGCCATACGGTTCTGATTTAGGTTTTACGGACGAAGCTGAAAACTGCCCAAATGTTTAGTCGCCAATTCAAACGTTTTCCAGAATCTTCACGTTCTAACAGACTTGACAGATGTTTCTCTAGATCGCGAACTGACTGATCGGAAGTTTCGTGGTTCGAAAGCATTTCGGCTTCCTCTGTCTAGACTTGGACAACCAGGCAGTGCTTCCCTCGAGTGGTATGGCAGTTTGGCACCACCAGGGTGCTACAGCTGATCGTTTTTTTCCTGTCATCTTGAAACGAATGGGAGTAGGTAAATACCAGGGCTGGTGTGCGTTGAATTTACCCATGAAATGGTTGTGTATACCGCTCTGGATATCAGTCAGTTAACTGTACTCAGCTGTACATTCCTCTCCGAACATGGATAGCAATTTCCTCACCCCTAATCATCTCATGGCAGTTATGGCAGCTCGATACGGAAACGCTCGGTGACTTGATAGTGTCCAACACGGTGTTTTTTGAAATTGTTGGTATCCAAGCTAGACAGATAAATGTTTCAGTACCGAGTTCAGTTGTGACTATTGGTGTTGCCGTGGTACTACAACTAACTTTATTCACCTAGTGGCCACATGGCAGTCGGAACTTCTGTTGTGAACTGGGCAGTCGACGGCGTCTGAGTGACACTAAACCACTTGTGTTTTCGCACAAACAGAGAGACATGTGCCCAATTAAGTTCACCGACTTGCGCTGGTGATTCCACTTCACTTGGTTGGAGTGCCCTAGTAACAACCATCTTCATCAAAATTTAACTGCTGCAATTCTGTACACCTTGTTTTTTCCAGACAACTGATGTCAGGTAGAGCAAATTTGAATCAGTGCTGTCTCCTGCTACGTTTCTTGTAGGTACAACAAAGATGTTGGTCGAGGTGTTGGAGTGGTTGCAGTTCTGTTCTAGTCACAAAATCTAGACTCCCTCTGGGAGGGTGTTAACAGAACTCAATTACAAAGTGTGCAACCTATGGCGTAGTATAGTATAGTATAGTATAGTATAGCCTCCTAGTGTATAGTGTAGCATAACTTGTGTCAACCCTGTGCAATGCCGTTGAGACAGAGAATAATGACTGCTCGAGTTAGTAAATTTTCAAGTGACATCCTGAGGCGCGTTTTCCGAAGTCCCTCAAGTGAACCAGCGTGACGCTTACTGCAGATTAACTAGGAAGTATGACCTCCTAGTGTATAGTGTAGCATAGCTTGTGTCAACCCTGTGCAATGCCGTTGAGACAGAGAATAATGACTGCTCGAGTTAGTAAATTTTCAAGTGACATCCTGAGGCGCGTTTTCCGAAGTCCCTCAAGTGAACCAGCGTGACGCTTACTGCAGATTAACTAGGAAGTATGACAAGACATTCGTACCTCTAAATGAGGTTCAAACCTGTCACTTTCTGGCTTAGTTGTTGACTTCCGATCACCCCATACTGTTATGATGTCAGATGGATGGTTAGCAGAAAAAAGCACTGGTATGCTCGCGAAACGCGCTCATTTGCACAGCGGTTTGGTTTGTATTGGAAACTCAAGTAAATCTCAGCTGAATCTCTCGTTTGTGACGTTCTACTTCAACTGAACGTGCTGCACAAAGACCGTCTCATGTTTCGAGTGGTATGATATTCGAGCTATTCTCGCCTACTTTTGAAGAAAGCTGCGCATATCACACCAGCCCCTTTAGACGACTTCCTATCAAATATTCTACGTAAGCAAAGGCAAGACTGGAACGCACACCTGCCCGCTCTGGTTCAGATTATCTATGGCGAAACTATTCGTAATTCACACCTCAGTTACTATCCGACGCCAATCAAATTTCGACTGCACAAACAAGTCGGTCACCGTCCCGTTGTATGTCGCCTATACCGTGGGCGACAGTTTTAGCGCAACTGTGAATCAGCGTATACGACACACACACACACACACACACACACACACAACTTAGCGGACCGTAGGCATCCAGTGAAGAAACTGTAGTTCGTTGGCACAAACACATGCATTCATGCACAAGCCGTAAAATAACTAGAAGGAAGAGTGCCAATAGACACGCAATCGCTTTATCTAAACAGTTATACTGCTGGCATAGGAATGATTCATTCGAGCAATTGGAATACCGATTGCAGTTGGGGAAGTATGCTTCTCACACACCTGTCAGTCTTGTTGATTGCTGGAAAGGGCTGTTGAGCATGATCGGTTGAGTTAGACTGGAGTGAGCGACACTTGTGGTTGGCGCGATGCAGTGCACGGATGAATACTTGCGAAAGTAGGCTAACTGAATGCAAGACAGTTTGGTGCTGACTCTCAGAAGACACCTGTAAGGTCTGAGTTCAAAACAGGACCAGTACATGCTGCAGGATAGGAAGACAAGGTCGCTTCTGAGAGGGATATCGTCGAAGCGTATTATAGCTCTAGTCAACGAAGCGGAATCAGTACTACCGGACTGGGAGGTCCTGACAGGCGGCTAACCGTCACTGGGTCGTTGTTCGAGCCATCGTTCAAGTGTGTGAATGCGACGATTGAGGCGTACTCAGCGTGCAACGATGGAACACTAGTAACAGGCCTGATGCGCACGTGTGATGTCCGGAGTTCAAACGTCATCACAGCAATGTACTGGTGATCAGCTCCGATACTATGGAAACGCGAGTCCAGTTCTTCTTCCAGTTGGTGTTGGGACAGCACATGGGGCTGATGCGCACGTGTGATGTCCGGAGTTCAAACGTCATCACAGCAATGTACTGGTGATCAGCTCCGATACTATGGAAACGCGAGTCCAGTTCTTCTTCCAGTTGGTGTTGGACAGCACATGGGGCGGACTGTTTAAACAAGACTGATCTGAACGTGAAATGTAAACGTTTCAACACCACCACTACTGTTTTAGTTAGTCGAATTTAAAGTTTTTATTTTTGAATGCGAGTCAAACTACTCGTTTAAAGGATGTACTCTAACGTCCAGCTTCGAATAACGTGGCCAATGAAGGTTCCTAAACCTATGGAAACGAGTTCAATTTCATCACCGGTATGATCGAGTTCAGACGATTCGTATACCGTTTTACTGACTGCCTCAACTCATTCTGCACTGTCACGAACTTCACCACTCGGTCAGAGGAATAAAGGAAACCCACATGTGCTTCATCCACCATATTCAGTCGCAACGTACGGGTGTTGCATATTTGAGGAAACACAGCTTTGCTCTCCGTTACAGGGAGATTCTTTAGTGTAGATGTGACTATAACTCAGTTTCTCTCAACCTTGGTGGCCAAAGATTAGTGATTCTTTCCACTGAGAAATCGAATACCGAAACCTAACATTTTCACCTTGATCGGCGGAGTAGCATCTGTTAACATAGGTGATGCATTCTTAAGTTTCACTTCGCTGTGACAAAGAAGGCAAACGAGCCGCACTGATTATTATTTATGAACCCACATTAGAGCGCAACTCGCCAGGCGATATTCTGGTCATTGTTACTGGAACGAATGGCTTGTGGAATCTCCCTATCGAAATTTTGTCCTGTAAGTGAAGCGAATATGTACCAGCTGTTTCGGTCTTATCGACAACCACACAGAACCTCATAGATCTTCGGGGGGCGTTCAAATGGCGTTATATCCAGCCAACGCGTGGGTTACTCGCACTGATGATCACGCGCTCCTGGCAGAACGGTTTGCTGTTCAACTACTAGCCAGGAGGTCGCGAGTCGGAATCAGCCAGACGACTCATGAACCCCAATAAACGTCAAACGTCTGTACAGTGTTTCTGGGCTCTTCGGTAAAGACTGACTTACAAGGCGAGGTCTCAACTGAAGGATTCTGGTCACTGCTATTTTGATCCCTAGGCTGGACCTTACCTGATATTTTACCCTTGATACAAAAACATGACTTATTCATCGTCTGATTACCGGCTGGCGCGTAAATGGTGTCCGCCAAACCATCACGTAAAGTTGATGCAATGTGATGATAGTATGCTAATGTGATATAGTCTTGAAAGGGGGTAGCAGGCTGAATCAGTTGATGCATGATATCAATAATTCGCGTCCCGCCAAGATTTTATGTGCAAGCCGTCTGCCAAGTGGTGGCGTCGTGGCTTCGCCCATCATACTGATTCCCTCGACTAAACACACCAACACATACAGTTCTGTCCAAATTGGCAACCGTTGCCTGGTTACACAAAAATTCAGCGAATCGGACAGGATGGCCTGATATGTATGCGTCATATATAGTGTACACTAGTTCATTACCTTGATAAATGTTACTCCAACTCATTCCGATATCATCATCATCATCATCATCATCATCCGAATCATCATCATCATCATCATC